CTTCCGGTATGCATCTCCTAAGAATAAGGATCTTCTATATGTATAGATACAATGCCATTACCACACTTAAGAAAAAAATTCCATAGTATATTAGTTCATGTGGAATGTATGGCTTCTCATGTGTTCTTCTGCACATTTTTTTTTAAGATTTTATTTATTTGACAGAGAGAGACACAGCGAGAGAGGGAACACAAGCAGGGGGAGCGGGAGAGGGAGAAGCAGGCTTCCTGCCGAGCAGGGAGCCCGATGTGGGGCTCGATCCCAGGACCCTGGGATTATGACCTGAGCCGAAGGCAGACGCTTAACGACTGAGCCACCCAGGCACGCCCTTCTGCACTTTTTCATTGAGATTTTATGAAAAGTGAGTATTTTACATCTGCTTAATATAGTGTGAATATCCTTCCAGGTCAGCGAATATAGGTTTTCATAATCCCTTTTAATGCCGTGTCTTAGATTGAGTACCCCAGAGGCCAAGCTAAGGTGGGGTTCTTGTTCATATGGTTTACTGAAGGAGCACTCTTAGGAGAAAAGTACAGAGGAAGCAGAAAGGGCAGAGAGCAAACTAAAAAAGAACATGCTGGTCTCAGAGCTAGAGATGAACTTCAGTCCACTGACCGTCTCAAGGGGAAGTCACTGTCGGAATCTGCTCCCCACACCTCCCATAACTTCCCCCAGGTAATTCTCCACCTCTCAGAGAAGATAAGGGATAGGTGTGTGCCTGAGGGTCCAGGGGGTCTGGGTGAGGCCCAACATTCCCCTACGGGCTGCTGGGTTTCAAATGTTTTGCTATTAGAAACAGTGATGTGAGGAACATCCTCCATGGGGAGCATATGTTTATTTCCCTAGGGAAAGGCGTAGATGTGAAATCAGTTAGATGGTTTGCACTTTAAATTATGTATTTGCCAAATTGCCATGGGAAAATAACACGAATTTGTACTTGACACGAGTGTTTAAGAATACCTTTTTATGCACACCCTAGCTAATGCTGGGTATCATGGCAGTGATCATTTTTTTACAAGATTTATTTATTTTTAGAGAGAAAGAGAGAGAGCATGGCGGCAGCAAGGGGGGGGAGAGAACTTCAAGCAGACTCCCTGCTGAGCCAGGAGCCAGATGAGGCTCAGTCTCAGAACCTGAGATCACAACCTTGAGATCAGGACTTGAGCCAAAACCAAGAATCAGACGCTTAAACCAAATGAGCCACCCAGGCTTCCCTATGGCTAAGGTCATTTTAATTTGCATTTCATTGATTAATCTTTTCATATTTTTATACTTAGTTATTGTTTTAATGAGACTATTGGACACATCTGTGGTATTAATGTTGGTGTAGTATCTTTGGTTTCGGGTAAATTTTATATTCCTTTTCAATATGATTAATTCAAATATAAAAACCTTCATGTATTTTAAAGGGAAAGAGTAAAGTAAGTATAATTCAACTATAGGGGTGCCTGGCTGGCCCAGTTGGTAGAGCACACGACTTTTTTTTTTTAAAAGACTTATTTATTTGAGAGAGAGAGTGGGGGGGGGAGGGGCAGAGAGAGGGAGAGAGAGAGAGAGAGAGAGAGAATCTCAAGCAGACTCTGTGCTGAGCGCTGAGCCCAACTCTGGGCTTGATCTCAAGATCCTGAGATCATGACCTGAGCCAAAACCAAGAGTTGGATGCTCAACCAACGGAGCCACCGAGGCACCACGAGCACAAAACTCTTAATCTCAGGGTCATGAGTTCAAGCCGCACCTTGGGCGTGGAGCCTACTTAAAAAAAAAAAAAAATCAATTATAGAAAAAAAATCAAACTATAAAAGCAGAATAGGATTCACACAACAAAAACATTGCCAGATATGAGTGACAGTGAAACTGCTCTCCTTCAACATTTACAATAACATACTCCCTGATCATGTACTGGGTTGTGTGAGTCCAAGCACCTGACATATATGGATGTACTCAGTCTTGACAGTCACCAAGAGAAGTTGGTATCGTTACCGCCATTTACAAAAGGAGAACCAGAGATGGAGAAGCTCAGAGCCAGAGACCATCCTGGAAGCAGCACATGGGAGTGTGAGCCTGCAGTAACAGAGCCTGCCCACACAACCACCTCCATGCAGCTGGGCCTTCAGGTCCCATCTGTAAAATGGACAAACTAACAGTCCTTGTATAAATTGAGTGTTAGGGGCGCCTGAGTGGCTCAATTGGTTAAGCATCTGCCTTTGGCTTGGGTCATGATCCCAGGGTCCTGAGATCGAACCCCAGGTCAGGCTCCTTGCTCAGTGGTGAGTTTGCTTCTCCCTCTTCCTCTGCCCCTCCCCCTGCTTGTGCTCGCTGTCAAATAAATAAAATCTTCAAAAATAAAAAAATAACTGCATTTTATACTATAAGTGTTTACTATAGTGTCTGTCGCATGGAAAGCACTCAATAATATTAGCTGTTAATATTATTGTACCAATTTAATGTCCAGAAACTTATCCCAAGGAAATAATTAAGAATGTGGACAAAAATTTAGCTACAGCTGTCACTTCCAATAGCAACAAATGGGGAACATCTTAAATGTCTAACAGTATTGGATTGATTACATTCACTACCCTACATTCACATAATGAAATGATGTACAGCCATTAAAGTTAGGTCAAATATTGAATAAGGTAAAAAGTTTCATTACAAAGTATTAAGTGTAAACACAGATTATAGAGTAACCTGTACTTGCAAACCATATGTTTTAACAAAGACAGATGAATACATGACAGGAAAAACACACAAACATGAGGGTGCTTATAAGCACATGCTGACAGCAGCTGTGATTGGCTGATCACAAGAGCCAAAAGGTGGAAACAGCCCAGATGTCCACAGACAGATGGACGGGTGAACAAAATGTCCATCCACACAGTGGGAAACTCCTCAACCGCAAGAAGGAGGGAAGCACTGATGGCTACTGAGACATGAGTGAGCCTCAAACACATCGTGCTCAGAGAAAGAAGCCAGACACAAAAAGTCACATATCATATGAAGTGCCCAGAGTCGTCAAGCTCATGGACATGAAGCGGATCGGAGTTTACCAGGGGCCGGGGAGGTAGAAATGGAGAGTGATCGTCTAACAGGGACAGAGTGTCAGTTTGGGAAGATGAAAAAGTTCTGGAGATGGACGTGGTGATAGTTACACAACACTGTGAATGTATTTAAGGTCATTCAATTGTACACCTAAAAATGGTTAAAATGGTCAATTTTATGTGATTTATATCACATATTCTGCCACGTGCACAGTAGAATCAGGAAAGGAGAATCTTATTGAAAGCAACCACTAGTAGATTAGGAAAAATCCTACAGTCACCACACTATTTACATAAAGCAAAGCAAACTTGCGGATGGGAAGATGCCAGGACCAGGGGAAGAAGCTCCTGGAGAGCAGTGGCGAGTGGAGGTGCTGGACAGGGACTCGTGTATTTTGTAGTGATGGAATAGGATGCTTCTTCCTTTATGCCTCTGAGTGCGTGAATTCTGGCTAATCTACAACCAAATTTTAGATATCAACCAATTTGTCATCTTCATTTCACAGATGTGTAAGTTAAACTTTGGGAAGCCCCTTTGATTCAGTGTGGCTGACACCTAGCCCTGTAGATTCCTATGGCGTCAGATGAAATCAGCAATTGGAGACCCCTCCAGGGACGGGCATGGGGTTTCTGCGGTTAAATGCTGGTGGACTGAGAGGTCACCGAGGTAGCAGTGAAGAGGCGGTTCAGAGCCTTCCACTGCCCTGCTAGGGCCCACCACTGTGGCTGGGGAACCCTGGGTATGACATATAAGCCTAATTTGAGAATGCCTATATTAGGCATCTGTATTATGCTATTGAGGTCAGTGGGCAACTGAAGCCCCTGGACAGTAGGAGCCCACAAAGCTGGTACCCACACCTGTGGTCCAGGCATCGGTGCTTTGGGACCTGCTGCCAGAGGTCAGGGCACCAGGAGGCCTGGCATAGCCATTCCTGACACACCACCCGGGCCAGGTGTCCTTCCTGGTCTCCTGTGCTCTTGGACACACACTGTTGCGTAATCAACAGAGAGTGTGAATGTGTCTTCCAGGTGGGCACCCTCACTTCTCTCTCCTCTCCTCTCTTCTCAGGCTCCTCCCAAGCCTGAACCCTCCCCCTCCACCACTCTCCCACCTTCTTTCTCTGTCTGTCTTCTGGAGTCACCTTGCTTAATGCACCCATACCCTGCCCAAGGGGAGCGAGGAAGGAAGCTCTTCATCGGGCACACTCCCCGTCCGCACACCTAGGTCAAGTCCTCCATTGCCTCATTTATTACCACAATTCGGACACTCTAGGGTCCACTCATGCCCCTCGGCCATGGCTGCCTATGGTAAAAGCCAGAGACAACACTACTGACAAGTTTATCTCCCAACACCAGCTTTGTTAAGAGTTTCAGATACTTTTTGTTTTTCACTCCTGTGGTGGGTTCCGGAAATGCCAAACCTCCCAGACTATGGGCCAGCACTGACCGCACTAGTAGGCCTGTGCCCTGCCTGCAGCAAGTGACTCAGAATGGTGTGGGGCTGAGCACGGTGCTCCAGGGCTTTGGTTAGGACCAGTGCAGTGGGTGGGATGGGGGCTAGAGTCCTGTCCAAGCAGCCCTGCCCTTCCAGGTCCCAGACTGGCGCCACTCCTAGAATTTTTGAGACTGGTCTCCTCCCGGGTGATTCAGACTCACACATATCACCCCTGAGTCGGCCAGCCTTCACAAGGGCTGGGTGGCCCCATGTGTCATCAGAGAAGGCAAGGATCAGAGAAGCTCTTCAGTGTTCAAAGCTGCTGCCCAGCACTGCCCGCAGGCTTCCGCTGTTCCCACCCTGCGCCACCGAGAAGCCCTCACCTGTGCCCCACCAGATCCTGGAGAGCAGTCTCAGCCACCGCCAAGCTCTGGAGAGGTCATTTTTGGAGGTTCTGATCTTTCTCCAGGGAAACAAGACAAAGAGGAAAGGGGCTTAAGAAAATAAATCATTGATATCTGTGGGGAAGATTAAATTTATTTATTAATTCACGCAAACATTTTCCAACTTGGGGAGAGAGGGCAAAGTCAGCAGAAAAAGCCTTCTAAGAAAGGAGCTGGGGTGAATGAGAGATTTTAAGACTTACCCCCTAACCAACTCCAGAAGGAAACACAATAACAATTTATAAACATTTTTACCACCTTTGAAAATACAATTTTATCCATAATTTTCAAACTCATTTTCTACTTTCAAGAGAGTTGTAACTCATATTCTTGTCCAAAGTTTAAAGTATCTTGTTTTAAATATTTCCTTGTCCAGACAAATTCCTACTTGCCTCAATAGGGTCTGCGAGCTTACATGAGAGCACACTAATTCTCAATCCACCCCTTGCTCTGTGTGATAAAAAAAACTGTAGGGAGAAAAGAGAGAGACAAGGAATTAATTTTAAAAAATCGCTATGTATATAAAGTTGAAAACCAGTGACCACAACAGAGAATGCAGTAGAGAACCACAACGAGCTGTTTTGCAGGTGTGAGCATAAATTCTAGTGACAGCTGTAAGACAATGGAGAGGGGTTCACATCATAAGGAGTTTGGGAGAAAAATTACAGATCTGGCTCCTGATGGTAATTTTGTAAAAATCTATGTTATTGGGGCACCCGGGTGGCTCAGTCAGTTAAGCGGCTGCCTTCGGCTCAGGTCATGATCCCAGGGTCCTGGGATCAAGCCCCACATCGGGCTCCCTGCTCTGTGGGGAGCCTGCTTCTCCCTCTCCCTCTGCCTGCCACTTTGCCTACTTGTGCTCTCTCTTTATCTCTCTGTCAAGTAAATAAATTAAAAAAAAATCTTTTAAAAAATCTATATTATTTTTCTCATGACTTATCTCTTTTGGTAGGAAAGTTGGAGTTTCAAATCCAACACCTACAAAAGAAGGGTCTAAAGTGTGTTCAAGGGGCGCTGGCCTGGCTCCATTGGAAGAGCATGCCACTCTCAATCTCCCAGTCATGAGTTCGAGCCCCACGTTGGTTGTAGAGATGACTTAAATAAACAAATAAAGAAATACTATGCAAAAATAAAATGTGTTCAAACTAGCAGCTGTGACAGGCGTTAACCTGTGGTAGTAACCCAAGTCTGTTAGGCTCTGAGGATGTGATGATGCAGTTTGTTAATAATGACGTCCTATTTTTGACATTTAACAAAGCACTTTCACCACTTTTTATTTAACATAGAGTGCAAGGGCATGTCAGCTGGCCATGCTAATTCCAAAGACTAACAGGAGAACAGACTAACGTCAGGAAGCACTGTGAAAGGCTGAGGTGGGCAATGAGGATAAGTGGGCGTCTTTCACTGGAGCGCTCCTCCCATGGTCTGGGTGGCCTCATTCTGTAGGGCTCGGCCCCTTTCCTGGCCATGCCTGAGCTATTTTCAACAGCATGTTGTAGAAAACAGATAATGATGCAAATAGAATTCCTATTCAGGGAAATCCAAAGGCATCCCGTCTGTGTAAAGATGCAGTCGGCACTGCCCTGCAGAAGACGCGGGTTTTGTCATCTACACATAACCCCAGTTCATCACTGCTGACTGTCAGCCTCTGTGTCTACTCTTCCAGTTCTTCTTTGAATTCATTTTTTAAGAACCCTTTCCTAGTTTCATCACTGATTAATGAATTATATCTTTGACACATTCATTTTATTTTTGTATGAGAGTCATGGGTTTACCCTTTTTGGAAATCATTCTTTGACACTAATATCAGACTTACAAGGACTTGTGTTCATATCCCCATGTGTTTTATTTTTTTTAAGATTTTATTTATTTATTTATTTGAGAGAGAGGGGGAGAGAGAGAGCATGAGAGGGGGGAGGGTCAGAGGGAGAAGCAGGCTCCCCGCTGAGCAGGGAGCCCAACGCGGGACTCGATCCTGGCACTCCAGGATCATGACCTTAGCCAAAGGCAGTCGCCCAACCAACTGAGCCACCCAGGCGCCCTCCCCATGTGTTTTAAAACATTAAAATACTGGGGCACCTGGGTAGCTCAGTTGGTTGAGCGTCAGACTCTTGGTTTCGGCTCAGGTCATGATCTCAGGATCCTGGAATCAAGCCTCATGTCAGGCTCCACTCAGCAGAGAATCAGCTTGAGAGTCTCTCTCTCCCTCAGTTCCTCCCCCCATTCATGCTCTCTCTAATAATAAATATTTTTAAAAAGGTATTAAAATACCTTGCTTTGAAATCCCTCCAACTGCACCATTTTAAGTAGCCATTGTTTTTTGTTTGTTTGTTTTTTAAAGATTTTATTTACTTACTTGAGAGAGAGAAAGCAGGAGCAGAGGCAGAGGGACAGGCAGACTCCCTGCTGAGCTTGATCCCAGGACCCTAGATCATGACCAAGCCGGAGGCAGACACAACCGACGGAGCCACCCAGGCACCCCTGGTAGCCATTGTTTTTAATTGAAATATGATAAATGGCCCATCTCTATAGCAATACTTTTTTTTTTGTCATATTAGCAGAAATACATGAGTTCTCACTTTTCAAATGACATGTTCTATATTAACTGATTTAAAATAATTGACATTGTTGGGTGCCTGGGTGCACGGGAAATGGGCACACCTGTTTCTGAGGCTTAGCTGGAGCAGGTGCAGTGTTCCCCAAGACTATTCAGAGTACCCATGAGATCACAACTATTTTCAGATTATACTAAGACGCCATTTGCCTTTCTCACTCTCGCTCTTGGGCAGAACACACTGTGGTTTTCTAGAGGCTGTGGGACATGAGATGATATCATTGCTGACTGTTAATGGAATGTGGGCTCCTGGACAGGTTTTAAATTATTCTCAATGTCATGTTCTAGTGCAGTAAATACCGACAGATACAACTCTCTTAAAAGCTTGAAAACTTTTAAGTGTAAAGGAGAAAGCATTTGAGACTGATAGGAGACAGCCTAGGCTGTAACCCACCTCACCTGTGACCTGGCACAGGTAGCAACATTTCTGGGTCCCACCTTCCACATTTGCAAAACAAAAGGAGTTTGTCTCGGGGCGCCTGGGTGGCTCAGTCGTTAAGCGTCTGCCTTCGGCTCAGGTCATGATCCCAGGGTCCTGGGATCCAGCCCCTCATCGGGCTCCCGGCTCGGCGGGAAGCCTGCTTCTCCCTCTCACTCCCCCTGCTTGTGTTCCCTCTCTTGCTATGTCTGTCTGTCAAATAAATAAATAAAAAATCTTAAAATAAAAAAAAAAGGAGGTTGTCTCACTCCCTCTTTGCACCTTTAATACTAAGATTCTATGATCCTCTCAAACTGAAGCATTGCTAGTGCTGCTCCAACTAGAGATGCAGGATCACAGAGCTCTAGAGGGTCAAAGAGGCTGAGGAGTGGTAGAGTTGGGGTTCAAACTCAGTCTGTCTCTCCCCTGTGTGACTGTGCCACCTGATACTTCTCACTGAAGTGAGGAGCACTGCTACACAGGCGGGACGGGGGTAGGACAGGGGTGGGGGAACCAGCTTTGACTCTACAGCCCAGGGCCCTCCTTGGACTAAACATAACAGATATTATCTTTGTTGGTCTATTTTTTTTTCCCCCCAAGATTTTATTTTTAAGTACTCTCTACACTGGACGTGGGGCTCAAACTCACAACCTCAAGATCAAGAGTCACATGCTAACTGAGGGTTGCTGGAGGGGAGGGGGGTGGAGGGATGGGGTAACTGGGTGATGGACATTGGGGAGGGTATGTGTTGTAATGAGCACTGGGTATTATGTAAGACTGATGAATCACAGATCTGAACCCCTGAAACAAATAATGTTATATGTTAATTGATTGATTTTAAACTTTAAAAATATTTTTTAAAAAAGAGTCACATGCTTTACCGACTGAGTTAACCAGACACCTATGTTGGTCTATTCCTTTGGTGTCATGTGGAATCCCTTTATACTATACAAAAAAACAAAACAAAAAAACCTGATTACTTGCATTGTTTCCATGTTAGCCAAATTCTTCTGCATATTTGGGAACTGGACATTATTAAAAATAACAAATTCCCTAATTTATTAGGTCATACTCTAGGATTTTCTTATTACTTGAATATATAGAACAATATAGTACTGTAAAATACACTAACTTTTAAATAAATTTTGCTTCTTTCCAGAAGAAGTTGCCACTTCAATGCGGTTTTCTGTTCATCCGTCATTGCAAGAAACTCATTTACCTGGTTAAAACAATCAAACAGATGTTTCCAAAGTCCATATAAATAATTCATCTCAACAATGTGAAACCTGGCTTTGTGCACTAGAATGGAATTTTATTTATAGTAATTACAGCTCAATTCTCTTAATGGAGGAGATAAGGTCAGAAAGGCTCCAAACTGAATCTCTGAAACCAGTCAGGTGGTTCAGCCCAGAAAACTTCCCTTAACGAACTAAAGACAGAGTAGGGCTGGGGGCTAATAGCAAAGTGCAGGAGCTGGCTTTAACAAGAAAAAACCAAGTGCCCATCAACGCACACACTACCAAGTATCTGCTGCCCTCCTGAAGGAGAAGGGCGCTATGTGTGTTCTGACTGTGGTGACTTCCTTCAGCTGGTTGGTGAAATATCACCACACCCTCCTTCTGCCTTAACCTATCAACATCTCCAATGTGCTGTTCCACCCACTGTTACTCGACTATAGAAAGTGTCTTCTTGGGGCGCGTGGGTGGCTCAGTCGTTAAGCATCTGCCTTCAGCTCAGGTCATGATCCCAGGGTCTTAGGATTAAGCCCCGCATCAAGCTCCCTGCATCAAGCTCCCTGCTCGGCGGGAAGCCTGTTTCTCCCTCTCCCACTCCCCCTGCTTGTGTTCCCGCTCTCGCTGTGTCTCTCTCTGTCAAATAAATAAATAAAATCTTTAAAAAAAAAAGAAAGAAAGAAAGTGCCTTCTTTCTCTCCAGTGGTCAACAGCCTCGGCCGCTGTACCCAACAGCAAAATCAGCTGTGATTTGAATACACAATATGCAATTATTTGTTCATTAAAACAATGCATGTTTAAATCAAGCTTGATTTTCCCCCCAGACCTCTTTATTAATGAATTAATTTCTATCAACTGTTCACTGAAATAACCTATACTTGGGGGGAAGGGAATTCAATTTGGAATTATTTCTAAACACATTTTCCTTTCTGTTACTTACCGTGCAGCCTAAAGTCTCCTCAGCAACCCTTCCTGTAAGACTGCAGGCATGGAGGGTACCTGTGTGGTCAGTGAGGTCAATTAGCAAGTGGAAGCTGAGAAAAACAGATTTAAATTCAAAAGAATCTTTGTTGCAAGCAGTACAAGTGCTGGATGCTTCCTTTACAACGTAACCACAGCCGGAGCTGAAAAGAAACAAAGACAAGGATAAAATGTGAAGGCCATAAATGTCCAACCTGATCTCTAGCAGAACCCTGCTCCCTTAAAAGTCTAAATCAGAGTAACTTCAGAGTGCTCAGTGCAGTGCAGGATGCCAGACAGACATATGAAATGAGGAACAACATGCAATTAATCCCATTTACACCGCCCTGCCTCCTACCCTACCCCTGCTAGGTCTCCTTTCCTTCACCCCTTCCTGGCTCCCAACAGCCACAGAACCGGTGCCTCAGCCCCACCTCTGCCCTGGCCCGTCCCATTCCTCGCTACCGTGGGTATGTCCACCCAGCCTCCCTGGCTCAGGGTTCCAAGGAAGGAGTCCTGTCGTGTGCCTAGAAAGCCTGAGGTCCATGAATGCTCGCTTGAGGCTTCTGTGCTAGGCCTCGGCACAACGACAGAAGAATCCTAGAGTTGGTCAGGTTCACACCCCAAATGCTCTTAGTACAGCTAGTGACACACACTTCTCCCTCTAAGGGGTGATTACATGCTATTCCATATTTTGAGGCAGGTCTTACATTAGCCAATTTGGACAGAAAGACTAACTTAAATTTCTCAAGTAGAGGGTGTGATCTGAAATAGTGCTTTCCTGTCTGGGCACAGATCACCTTTAAGGTAAATTTCAGATGCTTTTCCTCAGATATCAATATTAAAGATATAGGAAAAAATTAGGGAGACAATAAAATTTTCCAAAAGTTTTTGAAAAATGTTTTTCAAAAAGTAAACACTTGACTTACACAGCAGCCTCCACATTGGTTTTTTCAATTTTAATACCAAATCATAAAATGTTTTCAAAATCTATATGTCAGTATCTTGACTATGGTGGTAGATACACAAACCTGCATATGTGATAAAACCATATAGAACTTCACACACACACACACACACACACACACACACACACACACACACACACACGACTGCATGTCAATGTGGTGAAATTTCAATAAAATCACCAAATTGAAATAATGTCAGTATCCTGGCTATGATGTAATACTGTAGTTTCGTAAAATGTTACCACTGGGAGAAAGCGGATAAAGTGTATGTGGGTTCTCTCTGTATTTTTTTTTTAAGATTTTGATTTATTTATTTGAGCAAGAGATAGAGCCAGAGAGCACAAGCTGGGGGAATGGCAGAGGGAGAGGGAGAAGCAGGCTCCTTGAGCCTGACATCAGGCTCAATCCCAGGAACCCAAGATCATGACTGGGGCAAAGGCAGAGGCCCAACTGACTGAGCCACCCAGGTGCCCCTCTCTTTATTATTTTTTACAACTCCATGTGAATCTAGAACTGTCTCAATAAATTTTCTTTTCTTTTTTTTTAAGTAGACTCCATGCCCAACACAGAGCCCAACGTGGGGCTTGAACTCAGAACCCTGAGGTTAAGACCTGAATTCAAGAGTCAGATGCTTAACTGACTGAGCCACCCACGCACCCCTCAGTAAAAAATTTTTTTTAAAGATTTTCATTTATTCATGAGAGACAGAGAGAGAGAGAGAGAGAGAGTGAGAGGCAGAGGGAGAAGCAGGCTCCCAAAGAGCAGGGAGCCCGATGCGGAACTCGATCCCAGGACCCTGGGATCATAACCTGAGCCAAAGGCAGATGCTCAACCATCTGAGCCACCCAGGCACCCAAAATTTTCAATTACAAAAATTCATACACTTTCACAGTAACATTTTAGATGTTTCTTGCCAAGTATTTTTCAGCTAATATTATTAAATCCCTGGGGTTTCCTTTATAAAAAAGTAGATATTAACTTTGACCTAGGAGAGGCTGTAAATCATATTCACCATGAGGCTCTAAATAATTTTTTTTAAATGCTGTCCCTTGCATTGCTATAGGACATGGCAACCAAAATAATATTCTAATATAAAACAACAGTTTGTCACCTCAGTAAAAGTTTCTAGCAGCAGGGGTGCCCGGGTGGCTCAGTCGGTGAAGCACCTGCCTTCAGCTCAGGTCATGATTCCAGGGTCCTGGGATCGAGCCCCACATCGGGCTCCCTGCTCAGTGGGGAGTCTGCTTCTCCCTCTGCCCCTCCCCCCTGTTCATGCTCTCTCTTTCTCTCAAATAAATAAATAAAATCTTTAAAAAGTTTCTGGCAGAATTCTGTCTTTATATTTTAGGATTGCAGAAACACAGCAAATCAAATTTTACTTTAAAAGGTAATTATAACCTTTGAATCTACATAGTGTGCCTTGGAAACTGCATTATGGGTTATTTATTTATACATTTCTTTTTTTTAAGATTTTATTTATTTATTTTAGAGAGAGAATGAGAGATAGAGAGCACGAGAGGGAAGAGGGTCAGAGGGAGAAGCAAGACTCCCCACTGAGCAGGGAGCCCAATGCAGGACTCGATCCTGGGACTCCAGGATCATGACCTGAGCCGAAGGCAGTCGCTTAACCAACTGAGCCACTCAGGTGCCCTATGCATTTCTTTAAAATACATAACAACTATTATGTCAAAGAATAGCTTTAACTTTAATAGAGCTTAAAATATATTAACAATAGTTGGTTTTTATTTCTTACAAGAATGAATTTGCTGACAATACAGGCCACTTACCATCGGTGTCGAACTACTGTTGTGCTGTCATCATCAATGTTCAGTGTAGAAATGAAAGCATAAAGAATGCCGTAGAAAGGGTCAGCCTTCCCTTCGTTCTTTGAAGCTTTTACCTTTAATTGCTCAACTGTATAGACATCAACTATTGTATTTACTAAAAATAAAAAGTAGTTATTACAGCTCTCTATTTATTCTAAGAATGCCAAAGGATTATATCCAAATAGAAAAAGCTATAAAGTTCAAATGAGAACATGTAATAGCTTCAGTTGAGTAACAGAAAAATTATTACATTTACTATATTGAAACTGATTATGTAAATGGACATAACAGCAAAAATAAGCAAAAAAAGGAAAAGAATGAGAAATTTAATTCCTTTTATGTCAATGAAGACTTTGTAGTCATCGGAAGATGCCATTAAAAGAATGGGAAGGCAACCCTCAGCGTGGGAGATGCTAGCAATCTTTAAAGGAGACAAAGGACTCATATCCAGAATATATAAATAATTCTTAAAAATTAATAAGAGGGGTGCCTGGGTGGCTCATTCATTAAGCGTCTGTCTTCGGCAGTCAGCTCAATTTTTTTAACTTCCATCAGATTGGCAAAAGGTTACGGAAGCCTCTAAAAGTTTAAAGATTATTTATTTATTTATTCCAGAGAGAGTGAGAATGTGTGGGGGCAGAGAGAGGAGCAGAGGGAAAGGGAGAGGCAGAGAATCCTAAGCAGACTCCACACTGAGTGCAGAGCCCCACATGGGCCTGATCCCACAACCCCAAGATCACGACCCAAGCCAAAACCAAGAGTCAACGCCCAACTGACTGAGCCACCCAGGTGACCCAAAACCTCTAAAAGTTTTAAACAACCTTTTAAAAAGTGTAAATATAGCATTTACAGGATAAGAATATGGTATCTTTTACTATGTAAAACAAAAATAATATTTAAAGGTCACTTACAATTTATAGATTCTTTCAAATAACTGTCGATCTCATCATCCAGAGGATTTGTTTCTTTATTTTCTCTTATAAAATTCAGTAGGATGTTAGCTTCTGGGGTATCTTAAATAAAAGATGCATAATAAGTGAAAAGCAACTGATAACTTATTTTTTTAAAAGATTTCTTTGAGAGAGTACACAGGTAAGCAGGGGGGAGGGGCAGAGGGAGAGGGAGAGGGAGTCCCAAGCAGATTCCCCGCTAAGTGCAGAGCCCAACATGGGGTTCCATCCAAGGACCCTGAGATCATGACCTGAGCTGAAATCAAGAGTCAGCTGCTCAACTGACTAAACCACCCAGCCACCCCAAGACTGATTTTATTTATTTGCTTACTTACTTACGTAGAGAATCTCAAGCAGACTCCGTGCTGAGCATGGAGCCAGAGGCAGGGCTTGGTCTCATGACCCTAAGATCAAGACCTGGGCCGAAATCAAGAGTCAGACACTTAACCCACTGAGCCAGCCGGGTGACCCTGATTACTTTTTAAATAGCTGTGAATGATCCAATATTATTTTTAATGGTAAAAGTGAAGACATATATAAACATAGTCAAATAGACTATTATGCAGCCAATTAGCCATGTGACGTGGTAGTCTACTAAATGAAGGGACATACACCAGATATTGTTAAAGAGCAGCTTATAGAACGACCTGGTGCAATTTCCTCTCAATTAAAAAAAAAAACATATATATACATAGGTATGCAAAATTATCTGGAAGAGTATATACCAAAGAAATGATTCTCTTATAAGATGGTGAGATTATAGGTGCTCATTGTTTTCCTTTTGCTATTATGTATTTTCTGAATTTTATATGTATTTCTTTTCTAAGCAGGAAAAAAAATTTAAGTGTATTTGAAAGCCTTGCTGCTTGACTTGGGACACAAGTATTCTCAGGAATAGTCAGATGGTGTGCCCAAAGGCAAGAATGTGAGTTTGAAAAAGGGCTCCCATGTGACTCTGACACTCTTCAACCTCAAGCCCCCCAACACTTGACGGCCTTTTGGCCTTCCCTCACCCACTCTGACATTCTGCAAACGTGCTGGTGCTTTTACCCCTGGCGCCCTGACCCTGGGGCAGAGGCAGGGGCTTCTTCCTCTCTCCCATCCAACCCTGCGTCTAACCACTGTTCTTTCACATAACTAGACTGAAGCCCCTTGTGAGCAAGGGTCTGCCTCTTTAGCTCTGTAGTTCCAGTACCTAATATAGCAACTGTCCTACTCATCTGGCCATCTACCTATCAAGTCCGGCCTTGTTCTGGAAAGGACTTATGTTATCTCAGTACTTGGCAAATAAAAGGCATTTGAGAGTTATTTGTAACTTAATGAGTGAATGAGTGGATGTTTTTGAAACACTGACATTAGTGCTGCAAGCCAGACAGGAGCAGGTGCTGGAGTGAGGCTGTGGAAATCAAACCCCCGGGGCTTTCTGCAGGCACTGCTGTAAAGATCCCTCCTGTCGACAAGGTTATCTGGGACTGTCTGATGGACACTCTTCCGGGCAGAGAAAGCCATAAGGAAAGCTAGGATGAAAGCTTAAGCCTTTGGAGGTTTTAGTTTGTACTTGGTGGGTGTAGCCCAGGAAGTTACAAACAAGGCTGATTTAAAGAAGCACATTAAAATTCACACACCCTTGTAAGTACTCTCCTTTGTCTCTGAGAAACAGGCATTTATTCTAATGCTGCTGGCATTTCCCTTTTCAGGCTGTGTTCAGAACCAAACAGATAACATTCACTGAATATGTGTTTCATTAACTTAGCCTTGAGTTATTTTTTTTTAATATTTTATTTATTTATTTATTTGAGAGAGTGAGAATGAGAGAGAGAGAGAGAGCACCTGAGAGGGGGTAGGGTCAGAGGGAGAAGCAGACTTCCCACCGAGCAGGGAACCCAATGCGGAACTCGATCCAAGGACTCCAAGATCCTGACCTGAGCCGAAGGCAGTCGCTCAACCAACTGAGCCACCCAGGCGCCCAGCCTTGAGTTATTGATACAATTGTCCTATCAAGCTTGATAACCTTTTCCAACAGACAAATCCAATTGTCTTTAGAAATTTTCCCAGGCCTGGGGCACCTGGGTGGCTCAGTCGTTAAGCATCTGCCTTGGGCTCAGGTCATGATCCCAGGGTCCTGGGATCGAGCCCCACATCAGGCTCCCTGCTCGGCAGGAAGCCTGCTTCTCCTTCTCCCTCTCCCCCTGCTTGTGTTCCCTCTTGCTGTGTCTCTCTGTCAAATAAATAAAATATTTAAAAAAAATAAAAAAATAAAATCATTGATATTACTCTATATAATACTAACAAAGCAATATTAAGTTATTAAAAATAATAAACCATAGTACACCCCTCAAAAAAAAAAAAAAAAAGGAATTGAAGAGTTGCACTCTTGTCCCAAATGTTGAGAATAGATTGTGGTTGCGTCACCATCAATTTACAACAAAGCAGCTAGAGTGATCCTTTCAGTACTTAGAAAATGTCTCTGCTCTGTTCCAAACCCTTTGCTACAGAGTAAAAGCCAACATTCTTTCATTAGCCTATAAGGCCTTCTTGACACCGACTCTTCTCCTCTGACCTTGACTCCTCCTCCTGCCTGTGCTCCATGAGCTCCAGCCACACTGGCCTCCTTGCTGTTCTGCCCTCACACAGCCACATGCCAACCTCTGGGCCTTTGCACTGGCTGTTCCAGTACTAAGGGCCTGGTGCTTTTTCCCGGGTTAACCCGCCACGGCCTCATGTCTTTGCTCAAATGTCACCTTCCTAAGGAGGCCTACCTGACTACCCTCTGTGAAGTGCAACCTGCCCTATACACCATGTCACCCTGGACTCTCCTGACCCTGTTCCTCTTCTTCTTCAATATTTCATAATTCACAAATATGTTATCTTTATCGTTTATCATCTGTGTCTCTCCTGCTAGAATGTGAGCTTCATGTGGGCAGAGAAATTTGTGTTTTGTCACTGGCCCCCAGGACAATGCCCTGCACACAGCATGTGCATGTCACATCACCTTCCATGATGCCACTTTCAGGGACATGGTGTTCAGAGGATGCACAAGGTCTAGTGCACTTATGTGGCACAGAGTCTTGTCATTTTATGTCATATTTCATAGCAATACTACTTTAAAAAATTCTCATGATGGTTTGGCCAAAGACATAAAATTGCTTTGTAATTCTCAGTCACTGTAGGGGCACCTGGCTAGCTAAGTCAGTGAAGCGTCTGCCTTCGGCTCAGGTCATGATCTCAGGGTCCTGGGATTGAATCCCATGTCGGCCTCCTTGCTCAGCAGGGAGCCTGCTTCTCCCTCTCCCTCTGCCCCTCTCCCCTGCTGGTGCTCATTTGCTTGCTCTCTGTGTCAAATAAATAAAATCTTTAAAAAAAAATAAAAATAAAAATCAGTCACTGTTGATGCTTTGTTAGAGACCAGCAGAGGGAGCTATTGTCAAAAATGACCCACTATTACAGTTCCATCTTCCTGAGGTTGGGAAGGACCATGGGAATTCTGCATTCTTCCATGGTGCTGGACTCATCTCTCTATCTGCAGTACAGAAGACTGTGAGGATATTTAAGGTCACCGACCCCTCACGTCTCCCCAGACCCTGTTCCCCAGACTGCATGTTGGAATAAGCTATAATTCCTTTCAATAACCACTCTGGTGGGCCTTCTGGGCATTTTGTTATGATATGAACTTATGATGTAACATGTATGTTCTCCGTGTTCCAGTACTAAGTTATTTGAATATAGTAAAACTGTATTTATTTTTAAAATAGTCAGTAATTGGGCGCCTGGGTGGCTCAGTCGTTAAGCGTCTGCCTTTGGTTCAGGTCAAGATCCCAGGGTCCTGGGATCAAGCCCTGCATCGGGCTCCCTGCTCAGCGGGAAGCCTGCTTCTCCCCTCTCCCACTCCCCCTGCTTGTGTTCCTGCTCTTGCCAAATAAATAAATTAAAAAAAATCTTTTTAAAAACAAATAAATAAAATAGTCAATAATTTAGGTGATCCAATCAATTACATTGATCTCACCAGAATCATCACAAGGGATGATGCTTTAAAAATGAGTCTGGGGCCAGGCTGCACAGCGAAGAAAATGAATAGACAGCTTGTTGTGCACGTCATATTTGTGTTAATAAAACCATAAAACCTAAAAAAAAAAATGAGTCTGGGGGCGCCTGGGTGGCTCAGTCGGTTAAGCATTTGCCTTCAGCTCAGGTCATGATCCCAGGGTCCTGGGATCAAGTCCTGAGTTGGGTTCCCTGCTCAGTGGGAGTCAGCTTCTCCCTCTGCCTCTGTCCCTCTCCCCTGCTCGTGCTTGCTCTTTCTCTCTCTCTTTCAAATAAATAAAGTCTTTTTAAAAATAAAATAAAATAAAAGTGAGACTGGTTTTTCACATTTCTTTTCTTTAGTAAGGATATCAGCGATATAGCTCACTGTAAGTTTAAGAAATATAAATGTACAGGGACACCTGGATGGCTCATTCAGTTACATGTCTGCATTCAGCTCAGGTCAGGATCCCAGGGTCCTGGGATCAAGTCCTGCATCAGGCTCCCTGCTCAGCAAGGAGCCTGCTTCTCCCTCTGCCTGCCACTCCCCTGCTGGTGTGCGCTGACAGATAAATAAATAAAATCTAAAAAAAAAAAAAGAAATATGAATGTAAAGCATATAAAGGAACTTTCACTTTTAATTCAAATGAAATCCAAGCTTTGTCTTCATTCTTTTTTTTTTTTAAGCGAGAAAGTGTGCACACATGCATGTGTGAGTGAGGAGAGAGGGGCGGGGTGGGGGGGAATCCTAAATAGACTCTGGGCCCGCCTGGGGCTAATCCCACAACTCAGAAACCATGATCCAAGCCAAAAAGAAGAGTCAGACGCCCAACCAACTGAGCTATCCAAGCATCCCTTGTTTTCATTCTTAAATACAGTGTAGAAACATTGAAATGTGTGACACAGTCATTTCCAAAGGGACACAACATTTCAGATGGCCTTTTACCTGGATTGGTCGTAATAATGGTTTTTGAGATTACAGTTGCTGTCATGCAGTTCCGAAATTTGTCAAAACTTATTCTTACGTCTGAGGCAAATATTACTGTTTAGGGGGGAAGAAAGACATTTTACAACTTTTATGTGGAAGGGGGTTTAAAAAATAATAAACAGTGAACACAATCATTGCAGCATCATACCTGTGTCTCGTGGCACCCAGCTCTGTGCAACCAGGATAGATTCATTATCCCAACTGCATATTTTAAAAAAGAAGAAAAAAGTGAATACATTAGAAAAAAACTGACAGTGACCACATTATTTGTCAAAAAAAGAATGTCTTAATGGCTGGAGTTAACAATTGCCCAAGTTGTCAAAGGCACAAGTGAAGGATGTTGGCTTCTCCTGCGTTTTGCAGGATTCACTGTCTATTTCACAGGGCATTTCACGTCCATGTGATAAGTCATTCCTTAGCCACTATTCATCTTTGACAACTTCTGCCTCATCCGTTCCTTCTTTCCCCACTACTTAGGTTGCTCCAGGCTAGTTAGAACCAAGTGACTACAAATCCAAAGCCTTTACAACCACTCTGTCAGACCACTAAGAGAGGGCCCTGCATTGGATAAACTGTTCAGGGGACTTGACGTGTTGAAGGCCTGTTTCAAATTCACTTCAAATCTGGAGTCTGAACAAAGCCATGTACTACCCTGCGGTGCTTCAGGGTATTTTTCCACCATATTCCTGTGGCCTGACTCCAGGGCACTACCCAAGCAATCACAGTGAATCTGGCTGGTTCATTACCAATGGGACCTAATGAATCACACTGTTATAAAGCAGAGGACAGGAATGAACCAGTCACCGTAGAGTCCATCCAAATAATCCTGTGCTGTCCAAAGAGCTCCTTTTAAGATAATCTTACAGCACAGACTGTAATGCTCAGTGTACAAGAGCAAGGTTTCCTTTTTAATAATGATTTCTCCTCCATCATTACTCCTCTCCTACTCTGAAATCCACCATCTTTTTCATAAAATAAAAATATTCTGTCTTGGTGCTAACAGCAGGGATTTCACGGTTTGGAACAGATGTAGGAAGTTACCATATCATTGCAAAAGAAGACTCTGTCTCATCATAGAGCTTCACCTCACACCTCTGGCCTTTTCTCCGGTCTGAAGTTGTAAAGTATTTTGGCTCTCCAACCTTAGAAATCGAAGGAAATCATTATTCTTCACCTATAGTTGTAGAGGTACATAAATGTTTATTGATGGAAACATTCAAATGTTTACCTTTTATTTTATTTTTTTTTAAAGATTTTATTTATTTAAGAGAGAGAGAATGAGAGATAGTGGGCGCGAGAGGGAAGAGGGTCAGAGGGAGAAGCAGACTCCCTGCTGAGCAGGGAGCCCGATGTGGGACTCGATCCCGGGACTCCGGGATCATGACCTGAGCCGAAGGCAGTCGCTTAACCAACTGAGCCACCCAGGCGCCCTAAATGTTTACCTTTTAAACAGCAAATTAAAAAATCAAAATAGCAAGAATCACTAATATATATTTGATGGTTTTAAAAGCATCTTCTATTTCTAAATTAGGTGTATACAGCTGAATTTGTAAGTTACACACTTTGATTGAAGGGAGAGACAAAAAATGTGCTTTAAGACTGTGGGGTCTTTTCAACATGTCAAAAACAATGCTCCACGACAAGCCCCTGTATGGCATCTAGGTGGACTCACTGAGGATGGAAAATATATTTTCAACATCTGTGACACCCATGGCTTAGCACAGAGCCTGGCATGGAGTATATGTGACTGAAAGAACTCAGTCTTCCTACACCTCAGCATCCTCAGCTTGCTGGCACAGGTAGGATCCAATGCCTTCTTTGCTGCCTCCGTGGGAATAAGGTGGTGAAGACCAAATGAGGGACGTACGGGAGGCCACCTTGACACACTGTCTGGCTTGACCCACATTGGGGGTAAGAGGATCATGGAAGTGGGAGTAAACTCAGGGGTCCTTCTGCCCCCACAGCGAGTTCTCGAAGGGAAGAGCAGGTCCCTCTGCCAGCTGCATAACAGTGGCCCAAGCCTGGTCAGCTGGCTGCCCCCTTACGCTGCTGTCACCACTGCATTCCTGCAGAGCTGAGCTCCAGGGGAAGGAGCTGAAGGAAGACTTGCAGCTGCCTGCACAAAAGCAGGATCTAGAAGGAAAGTCAGAGGAAAGGACAGCCAGAGTATGGCAGAGGTCCGACATATCCCAGCACACAAGAGAATTCTATGAAAAGGATTCTAAAGTGAAGAGAGAGAGAAGGTGAGAAGGAAGAGAGAAAGGGCTAAATAAAAATGTGAAGAAAAGGAAATGTAAGAGGGATGGAAGCAAAATGGTTGAAGAAAGACACACACACAAGAAGTCATGTCCTCCTACAAAAGAGGGTGCCAGACTCATGGCCGGGGAAGTGGAAAATGCTGTCGCAGGCTTTTGCTTATACTGAGTTTGAGAAAATTCTAACTACATTGTAATATAATGGCATTGTATAGAACTGAAGGGAAATCGAGATAATATCCTGCCTTTATGTAAGACTGAAGCTAAATTGCCTAGAAAGTGGTTTCTCGTATTGTTCAAGACTGTCACAGAAGAGAGTTTATTCCTCCATCCTGAATTACATTGAATGCTCACTGTGCCGGGCGCTGGGCTAGGCTGGGGCTAGGGTGGACAATAAAGCAGTTGTGGCCTCCACTGTCACAGGCCGGTCAATGGGGAGAGTCGACACTGTCATTTAATACAGAAAAGCAATGAGCGATTACTTACAACATTTCATGCTTGTGTATGTGGTCTCTGACTATCCTCACTCCCCACGTTGAGGAATTGGTCCTGCCCCTTTAATTTTCTCCATGTACTTTTTTGTGTGTGTGAAACTGTACTTTTGAGATCTACCTCTGAATGTCTGCCAAGTGACCAGTCTGTCCAAGAGAGTTTGAAACTCATTGCAGCAACTGCATAAGAGGGAGGTGGTGGTGTGCGGCTTGCTGAGAGGCTCCCCAGGGCCCCACAATGCCTGCACGAGGTCACGCCAGCCACACGATGGGTATGCCCACCCCCATCTCAGGACACCTCTGAGCACACACATGAGTGGACTCCGTGAGTCCTCCAACTTACATCCCCTCGAGAAACTTCATGCAAATCTTCAAGTCCATGAATTTCCCCTTTCCACTTGTGTCTCTGTTTCACCGAAGTATGCAAAGCTCTCACAGTTAGTAGATCATTTAGGAGTGTGCTGCATTTAACATTCAAATTCAATTTTATTTTGCTATTCATTGCCAGATAAACTGCTCCTTTGACGTTGATGAGAAGTGCTACCATTTTCTTAATTCAACTTACTATGGATCAAGAAAATTGACTCCAGCTGGTTATGACTTTCCAAACAGAAGGGAAGTGATAGGACTGCCCACCAAACAGACGGTGGGTTTGTTGAGGCTTTAACTTACCGACCTCACTGCCGCAAGCACATTAATAATCCTCCCATCCAGACTGCATCCGTTTGCAACAATGTCACCCAATGAATAAAAATCACGAGACTCTTTAACAGGTAAGTATATCAAAGCAAGGAGCTTGTTGTCCACTTGGTAACCGGAACAAACTTTTACCATGGAGTGATTCTCACTGAGCAATAGTTTACAGTTGCTAAATTGCAAAAACACACAAAAACAATATCAAGTCACTTTCTAATAGAAAAATACTTCCAGATTCACATTATCTTTTTGGTTGTGATTTAGACTATATTAAGAAAACTTTTATTTTTTACTCTGAGAAACATTGAAAACTGTTGTGAAATATTTTTTGTCTAAAATGTATTTTCAGGGGCGCCTGGGTGGCTCAGCCGGTTAAGCGGCTGCCTTCAGCTCAGGTCATGATCGGGTCATGATCTCAGGTCATGATCCCATGGTCCTGGGATTGAGCCCCACATCGCATCGGGCTCCCTGCTCAGTGGGGAGCCTGCTTCTCCCTCTGCCCACCCCCCCGCTTTTGCTCTCTGTCAAATAAATAAAATCTAAAAAAATAAAATGAAATAAAAATAATAAAATGTATTTTCAGGGGCACCTGGGTGGCTCAGTCAGTTAAGTGTCTGCCTACAGCTCAGGTCAGGATCCCAGGGTCCTGGGATCGAGCCCCACATCGGGCTCCTGCTCAGTGGGAAGCCTGCTTCTCCCTCTCCCACTCCCCCTGCTTGTGTTCCCTCTCTCGCTGTCTCTCTATCAAATAAATAAATAAAATCTTTAAAAAATAAAGAAGTAAAAAAAAATGTATTTTCATTAAGAAAATGTTTTGAGGACCAATTTGTGCCCGAGTTCTAAGCGTACTAGTTTCTGACTATGCCCCAAACTCCGAGCTTCAGTTTTCTTCTCTGTAAAGTAGGGGTATAAAAGCCCTCTGATAAGTCAGGGTAGGGGTATCCCATATCCCCTGCAACACTGACTGCCCTGCCTGCGTCAGGACAGTGCTTGACTTCCTCCTGGGATGCTCTCTGCAGTAGATGCCCAATATCTACACACTGAACTCCAATCAAGGTGTTCTTCCCCCTCCAGCCAATCAACTCCCAAGTCCCCTCAGGGAGCCTCTTTCCAGCCCTTTAACCCAGGCCCTCCTCCCGCCCCTCCCCCTGCTACTTCTTTAGGTGTTTCCCTCACCACTTCTCACATGAACTACTATCTTGTCTCCTAAGCTTCCCTCCCCACTCAGGTTGCTGAAATGATCATCCTAAACCACAAATATGGACATACTAGTTCCCAGCTCAAAGACCTTCTGGGCTAGCCACCGGCAAAGAATGAAGTTGGTATGCCAGGCAAAGCTGTCTGGGAAGCGACTCTGCTTCTCTCTCAAGCTTTTCCTTCCACTGCTCCCCCTGCCTTTGCCCTAAAGCCCAGCCATATTAGACGACTAGACTATGAAACTGGCAGTTTTAGACCAAAAACAGTCAAATGTCAACAGTTTCATGTGGTTCAACCTACTGCTAACTGTTCTGGAAAAGACCAGGAGGTTTCATGTTTGTTCCCTCTGCCAAGAATGCTCTTCGCCCCCACCCTTCCTCCCTCCCTCCATCCATTTATCCATTCATTCCATCAATATCTACCAAGAGCTAGTATGTGCCAGAACCTAGTCTAGGTTCAGGCACAGGGAATACAGTGGTGAAGAAGACAGACAAGACCTTTGATGTCACGGAGTTCACATGTGTGAGAGGGAGACAGACAACAATTAATCAAATAATCTCAGACAGTGGGCTATGATGATAACAGCACAGAGCAAAGTCCTAGTGACGGACTGGAAGGGCCACTACACACAGAGTAAACGGAGAAGGTCTGAGGAGGTGACATTCAAAGTGACACATCAATGAGCAGAAGGAGCAAACAAAGCAGATGGGAGAAGACTGTTCTGTGCAGAGGGAAGTGAGTGTGCAAAAGCCGACAGTGCAGAATAAGCCCAGGGTGTTCACAAGGTAGAGAGGAATCTGTGTGGCAGCACAGAAATGAGACTTGGGGTCTGCTATGAGGTCAGAACAGTAGGCGGGAAGGGGTCACAATGGAGACTGCTGTGCCCCACTCAGGGCCCTTTACCAGTGTCACCTTGCTCTGGAGAGCTGCCTTCAGGCAGAAATGCCAGTGGTGGGGAGTGAAGGTCGTAGCCAATGACTTGTGAATCCAGGCCACGGCACTCATCCTCCAGAGCTCGCCCTGGGGCCAGGCGGACTGAGCTGGGCTCTGGCTGAACCTGCCTCTCTGCTGTCCCCTGATCTTATCCTTACAGGCTGTTCCAGAGAGCTCTCCCTCAACAAACCACTTACACAAAATTCCTCCTCTGGGCTCTGCCTCCAGTGAACCTGAACTAAAATAGGAAGGCATGAAGGCAGAGTTTTACTTTGACATGATACATCTATAGGACTTCCAAGATTTATCTTTCTCATTGCTCAGCTTTAATGTGACTAGAGGCAAATTTTTCTAAATCTGAGAATAAAAGTACTAAAAACAGCCATGTTTTCATGTAATCCTATATCAACCTAAATTATTTCATAATCAAAGCTAAATACTGTGAGGAAGAATTAAACTCCTAATTTTCAAATGGAAGCATATACCCTCAGTAAACTCTCCGCTAATCTGACACACAGACACAACAAAGTCTGTTGGCTCTGTGCTGGATTATTTACCCAGGAGTGGCAGGGCTGAATTTTTCTTCTCTTTCTAATTCCTTTCTTTGAATCAGGGGATTTTCAATTATCACTGCAACAGAAGGAAAAGTATGATGCTATTACAAAAAGTAACTAGATACATAAAAACAAGTATACATCACAACGAACATTACAATGTTATTTCTAATTTCTGAGTCAGTGTAGCATATCCTTCCCAGTCCTCTCCCTGTGTCACTGAGACACAGAATCCTCAGAATCCTTGGGTCTGACTATCAATTTGATCCCAGATGACATTTCTTATGTTTTGTGTTTAAATCCAACATATGACCGGCATTAATAGTTTTATTGATTAGTTACACCGAACATGTGATCTGGTCATGACCTGCCCTTCCACAAAACATATACTTTAAATGAACTTCACCCAGGGCGCCTGGGTGGCTCAGTTGGTTAAGCGACTGCCTTCGGCTCAGGTCATGATCCTGGAGTCCCGGGATCGAGTCCCACATCGGGCTCCCTGCTCGGCGGGGAGCCTGCTTCTCCCTCTGACCTTCTTCCCTCTCATGCTCTCTCTCTACCATTCTCTCTCTCTCTCTCTCAATAAATAATAAAATCTTTAAAAAAAATAAATAAATGAACTTCACCCAATTCACGGTTGCCTTTGGAAACAACAGCCATGGGGCATAAAGAGCCATGCACAATCTGGCTCCTGATTTCAGCTCCACAACTTATCAGCTTATGACTGAACACTTTAAGGGTTTTGTTTCCTTATGGTCTTGTTAGACCTTTTTGTGTCTCTTTTGCTGATTCCTCACAGAACTATTCCATGATTACCCCTTTTTACAAATGAAGAAACTGAAGTTCACAGAGGTTAAATAACTTTCTGGAGGTTTTATATCTAGAAACTAGTAGGGCTAGACTTATAGTTGTTCTAAATCAAAAATCTGTAATCTTTTCACACCTCCACACTAAGATCATATTTAGATTTATAATTATTGTCAATTTTGTGCTTTTAAGATCCCTTACCTCATTCATCCTCACAACCATCAAACTATAGTTTAATACCAAAATATATCTTTAGCTCCATATAATTAACACACTGGCATTCATCCAAAGAATGTTTCTAATAGTACTGGGCCCTGTGAAGTTTACAAAGTTTTCTGCCTTCACAGTTCATATGTTCAAGTACCTTATTATTCAGTTAGAGAGACACAACACACAACCCTGCAAGTTCATAATATGAGGCAATAAATGTATGAGTAGGTGTAAGTGACAGGGACAGGGACAGGTAATAACCTGCCTAATTGTGCAGTTCTGGAGAGTGGTTTAATTACGTGCATTACTCTTGCCCTTCTTTGTTCTACCATGAAAGAGAGCTGGTATCGTGCTTTCTTGTTTCCTGTATGAGGCTAGTGCTGCCATCCACGGAATGACAACTTTCTACACTTCATACCAGGCATTCTACCTCCTTTGACACCCACAGAATCTATAGGGTACTCATTCATAGTTGAGACTCAACAAGGTTAAGCACTTTTCTCAAAGCCATGATGTAAACAAATATTAGAAGTAGGATCTGAATCCAGTTCTATCCGTTTTCAAAGCCCTGGTTTTTTTATACAACACTGTACCATCAGAAGGATCCTGGGATGGGTAAAGGATGCCAAAGATTTGGTGTTTTCAAAGTAAACTTCTTAAACTCCTACTAAAAATTCAAATATTTTCTTTTGTCAAAAGCTATTTAGCAGCCTTATTATGTTTACTGAAAGATAAATGGTGATAGCAACAACAAGAATTGATGCAAACTGAAATATGAAAGAAACCAAAGATCATAAAGCTACCTAGTAAAAATATGTGACAATCACATTTATACATTTCAAGCAATAAAATGCTGAATGTTTGTGTTATTCTCTGAATGCCTGACTTTTTTCTGATAACTTTCTTAAGATTATAAATTGTGTCTTACTTTGACCCCCTCAGTGTAGTTCCCACAAATATATCACAGGAATAATACTATAATAGAAACAGTTCCAGAACCAATGCCAACTTACCGCACTCACCAACCCTAAAGCTGTCAGAAAGCGACCTGATGTAACCTTCGCTGCCCCAGGACGTTGCATTAACAAAATGGGTTGGTGAGTCCCGAATGGTAAAACTGAAAGTGTACCTCTCTGATCCGATATCTAAGGGAAACCAAAGCTTTCATGTTTCAAATGAAAACTTTTATCTTAGGTTTGAACAAATATAATTATTATGATAATAAGCATACTCAAACACATGGTAAAAATATTACTGCAGATATAATTCTAAGATAAGTTATGCTTTAATGAATCTCAAAGCTGTCAGAGTAGATAACTCACCTCACTATTGATCCCTCTGTTCCCTTTCCCCAGTTATCTGTGTATTTGGAGGGAAATGATACTTCGGCTGGAACCCTACAGATTTTAGCTTAGATTCTCCATTTCTCTCTTACTGTTACAGTTTCAACCTAAGTCATGATTCAGATCTAAAATTATTCCAAAACAAATAAATGTGTGCTAGTAAATGGCACCACTAGAGGTCAGCAGGTACATTTTTTCCAAAATAAAATGACCCTGCTGTTTTTTGCTAATTAAAAAGGTAACACAACCTAACATATATACATAAATTATAGATATCTACTAAACTGTTATTAGCATTTACCTTTGGGGAGGAGACTAGGCTGGAAAGAGCTGGGGGTTGAATTAAGAATTTCATTTTTCTATTCCATGATTTGTAGTGCTTGAATGTTTTGTGAAAATAGATATGTGACATGTGTGTAATGTTTTTTTTAAGTCAGTAAACATGTCCTCTCCAAAAAAGGAGTTCTGTACATATAACCATAAAGTACTCCAACACTACAGGAATCACTACCTGCACAGTCTGTGAGGTGAAATTGTATTTCATTGTGATTTTATTTATTTTTTTGAAGATTTTTTTTTTATTATTTATTTGAGACAGAATGAGAGAGAGAGAGAGAGCACATGAGAGGGGGTAGGGTCAGAGGGAGAAGCAGACTCTCTGCCGAGCAGGGAGCCCGATGCAGGACTCGATCCAGGGACTCCTGGATCATGACCTGAGCCGAAGGCAGTCGCTTAACCAGCTGAGCCACCCAGGCACCCTATTTATTTTTTTTTTAAGATTTTATTCATTTATTTTGACAGAGAGAGACACAGCGAGGGAACACAAGCAGGGGGAGTGGGAGAGGGAGAAGCAGGCCTCCCGCAGAGCAGGGAGCCCGATGTGGGGCTCGATGTGGGGCTCGATCCCAGGACCCTGGGATCATGACCTGAGCTGAAGGCAGACGCTTAACGACTGAGCCACCCAGGCGCCCCTATTTCATTGTGATTTTAGCAAATATTTTAAATACTGACATTTTCCTAATTCGTGTGTTTTAAGTTATTCCTTTTAGAACTTAGAAAACATACATAGACTCTCAAACTATTCAAATGGTAATTCTGATCTAATTAATCATGAAGTGAAAGCATAAGCAAATATTTACATCAAACATGATAATAGAATATTACATGAAATTAAAATAAAGGAACCCTCACTACACCACAAGCCAAAAAACAGCCACAGTTATTGGGCCGATTCAAACAAAATTAATGTCTTCTTCCGCCAAAATCACTGTCTGGCTGACTAGAGCTGATTCCCTTAAGCCACACAGAAGTGTTTATACTGTAACCTTTCATAAGCAGGGCTGACGTAAACCATGCTACTTTTGGCATTTTATATCTTATCATTGAGTGTCAACTACAGAAGTTTGAAAACTTGATTTTAAACTTGATTTTAAAAAATCTAATTTTAGGGCGCCTGGGTGGTTCAGTTGGTTAAGCGACTGCCTTCAGCTCAGGTCATGATCCTGGAGTCCCGGGATCAAGTCTCGCATCGGGCTCCCTGCTGAGCAGAGTCCGCTTCTCCCTCTGACCCTCTTCCCTCTCGTGCTCTCTGTCTCTCATTCTCTCTCTCTCAAATAAATAAATAAAATCTTAAAAAAAAAAAGAACTTGAGCACAAAGTAGAAAATAACAACAACAAAAATCTAATTTTAGCTTCTGAGCACTATATGGCGGAAGTGCCTCCTCTTCAGGCCTCTTTGGGGTCTGCGCGGAAACAAGATGAAGGGGACGTCATCGTTTGGAAAGCGTTGCAATAAAACGCACATGTTGTGCAGTTGCTGTGGCTCGAAGGCCTACCACCTTCAGAAGTCCACCTGTGGCCAATGCGGCTATTCTGCCAAGCACAAGAGAAAGTATAACTGGAGTAACAACGCTAAAAGACGAAACCCCACTGGGACCGGTCGAATGAGGCACCTAAAAATTGTATACGGCAGATTCAGGCATGGATTCCGTGAAGGAACAACACCTAAGCCCAAGAGGGCAGCTGTTGCAGCATCCAGTTCAGCTTAAGGATTTCAACGATTAGTCACACAATAAACGTTCTGGTTTAAAAAAAAAAAAAAAAAGATCTAATTTTAGGGGCGCCTGTCTGGGTGGCTCAGCTATTAAGCGTCTGTCTTTGGCTCAGGTCATGATCCCAGGGTCCTCGGATAGAGCCCCACATCTGGCTCTCCGCTCAGTGGGAAGCCTGCTTCTCCCTCTCCGACTCCCCCTGCTGGTGTTCCCTCTCTATGTCTCTGTCAAATAAATAAATAAAATCTTTTAAAAAAATAAATAAAAATAAAAAATCTAATTTTAGTCTTGGATTATTTCCATAGTCCTAAAACTTTTATACAGTTCAAGCAACTCAATAAGAGCCACTACAGCCAAAGTTAACTGTATTTTCCACATATGAAAGATGAATTTTATTCACTGGATTGTCTGGTTGATACTGCTGCCATACTTCTCTCCCTCCATGCTCCTCTATCAAGACACATCTCTGCTCGAAAATCCTGTTCCTTAACATTTTCTGTCTTAGACTTTCCTGTGTATTTGTATCTCTTAAGCTGAAAGTGATCGTTAACAGGGAGTCACACAGCCTTACATGTCATTAAAAATGATTTTAATGTCCTCACACATATGGCCTTAAATTGAGTACTTTACCATACAATAGAGCAATGGCCACTGCTCTTAAGGAGTTAAATGGGCATGAGAAATTTAATCACTTAAATACACTTTGTTGTAGTCATAAGCCACACTTGATGAAAAATGAAGTAAAAAGTTAAACAGAACTCAGCTTTTTCTGTCTGGAAAGCCTTTGACATCTGTTTTCCCAATAACTATACCAATTATTTTCTGAAAAACAAAAGGGTTATAGAAGACAAATATCAAACACAGATGTAGATGGTAAATTTAATTACATGGACTTGTTATATTTTACTGGCTCTAACATTTCTGACTAGGAGCCATTTAAATATATTTACTCCAGAAAAACATCTAAAGAACTTCATAAATGTTCAATTCCACAAGGAATAGTACAAAGTAACAGAACAGTTAACTGCTATTACAAATATAATCACTTAATACTTAGCATGTTTCTACTTTATTTTCAGTCACTAGTTGGAGCACAGTAGCTGCCCTGTGCTATCAGTTCTCACTGAATTCATTCAAAGCACATGTATACATAATTTAATTTGCCACGGTCTTCAAAGCTTTAATATAAGATTTTTAAAAAGATTTTATTTATTTATTTATTTATTTGAGAGGGAGAGACAGATAGTGACAGAGATAGCAAGAGAGAGCACAAGCAGGGAGGAAAGGGAGAAGCAGGCTCCCGCCAAGCAGGGAGCCTGACATGGGGCTCGATCCCAGGACCCTGGGATCATGACCTGAGCTGAAGGCAGCCGCTTAACCGACCGAGCCACCCACGCACCCTACTATAGGATTTTCTAACCATCCACATAAAATTGCTTAGCTTCTTAATCCAAACATCTTTAACAGTAATATAAAGTATACTGTAATAAAACTTATACATTGCTGCTAATAAATCTAAGCTCTAAAGTCCTAGATCTTAAACCTTAAAGATACTAACATCTCCTTAAGCATTTTAATGTCTTTAGCAACTACCAGATAAAAACTGAATATTTAAAAAGTACTTTAAGAAACAAAAATAAGGGGTGCCTGGGTGGCTCAGTTGTTAAGTGTCTGCCTTCGGCTCAGGTCATGATCCCAAGATCCTGGGACTGAGCCCCACACTGGGCTCTCTGCTCAGCGGGAAGCCTGCTTCTCCCTCTCCCACTCCCCCTACCTGTGTTCCCTCTCTCGCTGTGTCTCTCTCAAGTAAATAAATAAAATCTTAAAAAAAAAAAACAAAACTCTGAAAAACAAACTGAGGGTTCTAGAGGGGAGGGGGGTAGGGGGATGGGTTAGCCTGGTGATGGGTATTGAGGAGGGCACGTTCTGCATGGAGCACTGGGTGTTATGAACAAACAATGAATCATGGAACACTGCATCAAAAACTAATGATGTAATATATGGTGATTAACATAACAATAAAAAATTTAAAAAAAAAAGGGAAACAAAAATAACTACCTTTTCCTGAAAGGATAAACCTAAACTCACACTAATTCTAGCAACTGATTTTAACCTTGCAATAATCTGTTACATTTAAAATATGTTCAAGCTCTTAAGACTGCCACATCCTAGCTGAGCTATTAACTAATCTTACTATATTTAGACACACTGCTGTTATTTCTTAAATTCCATATGCACCTTGATCTCACCAAACTGTGTTGGAAAAATATAACTAATGGAAATATTGACAAATCTTTCTAACTGAAGAGGAAATTAACAAATCGCTTACCGTTCTTTCTTTCTTTCTTTTTCTGGGCCTCCAGAAGGATTTGGGCCCCTATTTTTAACAATAAACTTTAACTGCACATTAAGGTTACATATAAATGTATCCCATTTTAAGACATCTGATTTGTAAATGCCAAATGTAAACAACAGACTGCTCAGGGCAGTTCTTCACCTCATAAAATGATTCCACCTAGATTTTGTTTGACTAAAAACAGTCTTGGCATATTTGAAATGATTGAATTCCCCAACAACCCTTCAGTAAAAAATGGATTTTCACATATTTTACAAATACAGCTTTTGTATTCTTTTATGTCATAAAAGGAGCACAGTGCCAAGTGTTTAAGTCTGTAACTTAAGTACAGTTTGATTAGAGAGTAGATATTTCCAAGCAAAAATGTTCTAATTTTACAATGCTAAATTTGAGCTGTTATTAAATATTTAATGGAAGTAATACAATTAAACTTTTGATCATTTTGAACAATTGCTAGCCATATCTACAATGTCCTACTCTAGACAAAAGAGAAACTAATTTTCATTTAGCTGGCATAAAATCAAAGAAGCTTAGGGGTATCTATAATATCAACAATTGTACTGATGGAATGAGTAGCTATATCCTTGTCAATTATATAGGCATGTGTCAAATGAACCAATAATGTTGCTATAATATAATATTACCACTTAAAGTTTCATTAGAGAACAACCAAACCACTCTATCATTAAAACCTACCAGATTAGCCATATTTGGATGCAGATCTGAAAGTGCAGTGAAGGTCTTTGATGCAAAGGAATGTGCCATTCTTTTATCTATATTTTAGAAAACATAAGTTGATGAAAATTAAATAACTGAAATAACCCATGAAAAATTCCAAGATTAAAAATGTCATCTGGGGGTTGCCTGAGTGGCACAGTCAGTTGAAAGTCGGACTCTTGGTTTTGGCTCAGGTCATGATCTCAGGGCTGTGGGGTCAAGCCCTGTAGGGGTTCCTCGCAGAGTGCAGAGTCTGCTTGTGACTCTTTCTCCCTCGCCCTCTGCCCCTTCCCCCTGTGCACGCACGCATGCACTCTCTCTCAAATAAGTAAAAAATAAAATCTTTAAAAAATTATCTAGGAAAGCATTGAATATATTACTCACTCTTTGGGAAAAGTTTTTTATTATAACAGTGAAATGTAAGTACAGATCAAATCTGTAAAAAAACATGTTTCAAAATGTCCTTTTACAGATTTGAATGATATAGTTAGGTTTCAATTTTTAATTTCACTTTCCAAAGAATGTATAATTTAAACTGGTAAGAATGTATAATTTAGCAATTTTTTAATATTTCTGAATGTAAGAGGCATCTTGTGTGTGATGGCATGTTAGTTTCAGTAAAACAGAGAATGTGAGTTTTTTTAAAAGATTTATTTATTGGTGGGGAGAGGCAGAGGAAGAGGAAGAGGTAGAATCTTAAGCAGGCTCCACCACCATCATGGAGCCATCTCTTGACCCTGAGATCATGACCAGAGCCAGAAACCAAGAGTTGGACACTTAACGGACTGCACCACCCAGGTGCCTCACTAATTAGCAATTTTTGTGCACCCGGTAAATTTAGTTTCGGATGAAAGATGATTCGATGGGACATTTGCAGATTTAAATATTTATTAGCATGGAGCCTACTTTTAGAAATACAGCAAAACTCAGGGCCCCTGGGTGGCTTGGTTGAGTGTTGTGGCATAGAGCCGGGGCATGGGGGGGGGTGTCTGTGCTCAGGGGGCAGGCCTGCTTGGGGTTCTCTCTTTCCCTCCCCCTCTCCCCTCCCCCTGCTGGAGCGCATGTGTACTCTCTCTCTCTCTCTCAAATGGGTGAATAAATAAAAAAGAAAAGAGGGGCACCTGGGTGGCTCAGTTGTTAAGCGTCTGCCTTCGGCTCAGGTCATGATCCCAGGGTCCTGGGATCGAGCCCCACATCGGGCTCCATCCTCCAGGGGAAGCCTGCTTCTCCCTCTCCCACTCCTGCTGCTTGTGTTCCTGCTCTTGCTATCTCTATCTCTGTCAAATAAATAAAAAATCTTAAAAAAAAAGAGAGAAAAGAAAAGAAATACAGGGGTGCCTGGGCAGCTCAGATGGTTAGGCATCCGCCTTTGGCTCAGGTCATGATCCCGGCGTCCTGGGATGGGGCCCGCATCCAGTTCCCTACTTAGTGGGGAGCCCGCTTCTCCCTTTCCCTCTGCCTGCTGTTCCCCCTGCTTGTGCTCTCTGTCAATAATAAATAATTACTAAAATCTAAAAAAAATACAGCAAAACTCTATTGCAAATACCTCTAACCTGGTTACACTATGTGTGGGGATGGCAGTGATTTTAACCTCATATCTAGATGAGAGCAGAGGTGGGGCCATAGAGATTTCATGAGTGTATCTCGACGCTATCTCGTGCATAAAAAGCACTCAATATCAAATGAGTGATATTAAAATATCAAATGGTGGCTGGTCCTCAGTATCACCACTGTAAAGGGTTTCAATGTAATAACATTGGTCAGCTACACCAAGCCAGTAGATTTACTCAATTTCGGTTATTCATGCAGCACATGTCGGTTGAGTGTCTGATTTGTGCCAGGCCCTGAATCAGGACAGGCGTAGGGCTGGGAGTTGGTGCCTCACCCAGGAACCGCATAGAGGAGCAAGGCAAACAGAGCGTGGGAGGTAGGAGCAGCTGTATAGTGCCTCAAGGCCCCACTGCTCCAGACCCTTGGCAATGGTGCGGGTACCCAGTCCAGTTTAAGGTCAAGTGGCGGCACCGTCGCAGGCAACAGCTCTGGGCTGGCGCTACACTACAGACACTGGGTACATCATGACCATCTCGGACAGCCGCGCACCTCGGGTCCGGATCTCCGAATCCCCCTTCCTGGGCTCGGAACCCTCCTCCCACTTTTGAAGGGCAACCCCCTGGTGCGTCTGGCTGACTCCGTGGGTAGAACACACGACTCTCGGTCTCCGGGTTGTGAGTTCCAACTCCACACTGGGTGTAGAGATTACTTAAAAAAAAATTTTTTTAAAGCAAACTGTCGATGAAAGAATGATGATTTCTAAAAATAAAATCATTAAAAATCATCGTAATAAAGGGCAGCTTCGAGCGTGGCCCAGCGCCTGCCTTCCGGGGCGCGGGTGGAGGGCCCCGAGGGGGCGGAGACCTGGCGCTGGGGCCCTGGAGCCGGGGGAGGAAGGCACGCTCGTCGGGGCTGGCTCTGACACGGCGTCGGCCGTCCGAGGAGCGCAGTCAGCCGGACCCGCAGGGCAAACCAGCGGCTGCAGTTCTCAGCCGGCCGAAGTGAACGGACGGAGGCCGAGCGCGGGACCGCAGGGGCGTCCGCCGCCACGTCCGCCGACTGCGTTCCCGGGCGCCGCGCCGTGCCGCCCCCGCCGCCCCCTCCCGCGGGTCTCCCGCGCGGGCTGCTCCGCACCAGCGGCGCTCCCAGCCTCCTTCCGCCGCTTCCCGAGGAGAGAACCCGCCGGGCGTCCCCGCTCTGACGGGAGCCGGCAGCCACGCCGCCTCGGTCCGCTCGCACCAGGGCGGTCCCAGCCGGCGGCCGCACACCGGGCCCCGCCAGCCACGCCCTTCGTGGTCCGCCCTCACGGAACCGGGCGTCCCCGCGTCCCGGGAACGAACCCCACTTCGGGACGACGCGCCCCGAAACGGCAGCAGAGGAAAGGACAGCCGCGTGACTGGCGCCCCAACTCGGTCCGCACCGCGCAGCGCCGCAGGCCCCCTCGCGCGCCCGCGCCTCACAGAACGCGCCGTCCGGGCAGGCCTTCACCTCAGCCGCCGCTCCTCGCGACCGCCAGGCCCGGCGCTCCACAGCCTCTCCACGGTGCGCTCCGCCCGCCGCCTGCCGAGCGACGGTTAGCGCAGGCCCCGCCCGCAGCCCCGCCTCACACGCCGACCCCGCCCCGACTCCGCCCTAGCCCCACCCTCGGCCCCCACCCTCGCCCCGCCCTTCACCCCGGCTCGATCCTCGCCCCACTTTTCGCCCCGCCTCACACTCCGGCAGTGCTCTCGCTCTGCCTAGCCCCTCTCTGACTCCGCCCTCTCCCGCCCTTCACCCCGCCCCTCGTTCTGGCTCCGCCCCCGCGGTCCCTCTGTGGTCCCGCTCCTGAGTGGCGAGACTCGGGGAGGCCCGAGTGCGAGTGGTCCCGGCTCTTCCCTTTCTCGCTGGCCCGAGCGTGCGGCTCAGACCCTTGGCGGTCCGGGGCGGCGAGCTGGGCCGGGGTCTGCGAGGTGCGCGGCGGGGCGCGTGGGCCGGGTCCGCGGGGCCCTGTGACTGCTCGCGGCTCCGGGAGCGAGGCCCCCCGAGAGGGAGTGCCGCAGACCCCGATGGCCCGTAACGGGGCCGGCGCCAAAGCGCCCGGGCCCTGTCTCCGTGGTTACCGTGGTGCGGGACGGAGACAGTGACCTGTGCCGACTCTTCGTGTGTCTCATTACCGCCACTGGGAAATCCTTTTAGTCAAAGGACTTAGAAACTACTTTGTGTTACTAGAGTACTAATCAGGGGCAGATGAGTCAAGATCCAGCAACTAAATCCATTACATTTGTCCCCACCTGCTGTCTACATGTAGCATTAAGTTAGCTTCTCGCTTTAGAAGGAGAAACAACTTTGGTACTTAGTATACAGCCATATATTAAAAAAAAGTACATCAGAGGCAAGTTTTATGTTCTCGTCCCAACAAAGCTCTTACTTTTCCTCTTCTGTTAGTTTTTTTATTCCCAAATAATAATCGAAAGCCAAATAAGCCACCTGCATTCCCACCACTTCAAATTTAATAGAGAAAGCTTTTTAAAATTTTCCATATTCCTGGGGCACCTGGGTGACTCAGTCGTTAAGCGTCTGCCTTCTGATCAGGTCATGATCGCAGGGTCCTGGGATCTCCCCGCTCTGCGGAAAGCCTGCTTCTCCCTCTCCCACTCCCCCTGCATGTATTCCCTCTCTCGCTGTGTCTCTCTCTGTCAAATAAATAAATAAAAATCTTTAAAAATAAAATAAAATTTTCTGTATTCCTTTCCAGGCTTTGTCTTTAAAAGAACATATCTTGATCTTTCCAAAGGAATGAGCTGATATTTTAAGTCAATTTTAGAGGGGGGGGAAGGTATAAAAATAGTTTGCATGCATTTTTCATTTGCGCCTCTGTAGGGGAGTAATATTTTAAATTTTTGTATTTTTCATATTTTAGTAAATTAATTTTCGCTGAAAGCTATGGAAGATTAAGCAAGCAGAGTCAGCCTCACTAAGACACAGAAGGCTTTTCCTAAAATGCAGCTTGGAAATGCAATCCTGAAAGAGTGGGATTGCTTGATGTCAATGAGATTGGGACCCTCTTGTTGCGAAAATAATTCATTTCTTCCATTTTTCATAGCAATTCTGTGAACTTGGTTTGTTCTTAACAGTAGAATTGACTTGTCAGTACATTTTGGATGGATGTGAACAGAAGCAAGGGCAGGAAAGCCTAGGCTTGCCACTAGATGAAGAAGGCAAGGGTGAGTGAACAAAGGTCAGAGGTAAAATAGCTTGCGTGTCTGACTAAAGAAATGGTATGAGGCTGTGCCTGTCACCTCCCCAGTGCATGCCAGCTGTCAAGCCATCTAAGAGCATGTCAGGAGTGACAGGAAAAAGATACAGTAATCAACTTTACACTTACTAATCGGGAGGAAAAGATTGACGATTATTTTAATGAAATACAAGACCGCCTCTTATTTATTTAACAACAAAACAACTTTACTGAAGTCAATCCTGTGGTTACAGTCTCCCTCCCAGGAGTGGAAATACCGACTGATCAATTACTAGTCTCACTCCCCACTCCCTCCGCCCAGGGGACCAGCCAACATTTAAATAGATTGTAGATATGCTACCATTGACAGATTATTTGTGTACATTTTTGCACCAGTTTTTCTGGAGAAAAGGAGTGAGGTAACCCATGAGTGGGGCAGGAAGAACTAGATGGGGTTCAGGGGTGATACGAAGTGATTAGGGACTATCAGGGCAAACAAGAGGGGGAGACAGAAGAGAGTGAAAGCACATTTGGGGGGAGCTGGATTCGGGAAAGTTTGAAGAAGCATCAGAAAGGAGAGAGTTCATGAAAAAAACAAAGCTGTTGCAGCTGTGGAGTGTCCTGAGCACGAGGAGCCCAGGAATGTTCTGGAAAATTCTGGGGAAAATCCATGCAAACTGCTGAGTCAGAATCCAGGGGGGCTGTGGGAAAAACAGGTCCCTTCTCAAGTCTGGGTGGCCCAAGCTAGAAAGAACTTGACTTGTTGCACCAGCAAAGAGAGGAGGAACAGAAATATTGGCACCAGCCAGAAGTGGTGGGAATTGAGGCTGGAATTCCAAGTGAAACTGGAGAGTCTACGAGAGCCTAAAGTAGGCGATGATCTGTGGTAAGCCAAAGTGAGCAATGAGCGGGCTTGGAACCCCGCAAAGTCTGTAGTCCATGAACAGGGACATGTCTGCTCCACGTGCCTGGAGTCCACTGTGTTGAGATCATGCTGAGGGAGGGGACAGCAGGGGAGAAGGTCACCAGCACACAAGACACCTGTGGTCCTTGGAGCCGACTGGCTTCCCCCCAGCCGACCCCACCAGAAAGTTACTCATGTGACATTAGGAAGGGCCCGCCTCTTTGGAGGGCTGTCATGGGCCACTTTTCATCACAATTTATATCAGACGTATGTAACGTGTTCAAACCTTCCTAGATTACTCAACATAACTTTGCCAGTGGCATTGCAATTAATGCATCACGGACCTCTCGAGTTCCAGCTGCACATCGCCAACCATCTGCAGGCAATTCATGCACTTGAGGGAGCAGGTATATGTAAAACTAAAGTCATCCACTCACCCAAGGCCGGCTGCTCATCTCCCAGTTGTCATAACCACGCAGCTTGTAACCTGAGCGCAGAGCCTCAAAGGGAGTCTTGAATCCGCATTTCTGTTCCACTTTTATCTAACCGGGTTTCAGGTTCTGTTTTTCTTTGGCATATCTCTTGAACTTGTTTCTGTCTCCCCATATCTATTGAGACCACCTTCGTTTGAGCTCCGGAGGCATTTTATCTGATGACGTTTACCTCTCCCTGCTCCAGCCCATCCTACACTCTCCTGCCAGATTGAGATTCTCATGGCTTCCATCACAGCGTTCCCCTGGTCTGGAACCTTCAATACTGCCTATCATAGAGTGCACCCACATTTTTCTGTAAGGGAGTATACATTTAAAGGGCTCTGTAGGCCATAGGGTCTCTGTTGAAATGACTCAACTCTACCGTTTGAGTGAAAAAAAAACACACAGACAATACCTGAACAAATGGGCATGTCCATGTCCCAATAAAACTTTATTTACAAAACAGGCAGTGGGCCAGATTTGGCCTGTGAGCCATCATTCACAGACCCCTGGATTAAAGTCACAATTCCTTACTTTGGCATTCATCACTTTATTGAATTTGGACTCAATTTAAAACTCTTGCCCTCTTCCCCACCATTTCTCTTAAAAAATGCCCACTTCCCCAAAACTTTTATTTAAGTCCTGCATTTATGTTTAGAAATGAATTTCTAAAGTGTACAAATGTGGAGCGCCTGGGTGGCTCAGTCGGTTAAGCAACTGCCTTCGGCTCAGGTCATGATCCCAGGGTCCTGGGATCGAGCCCCACATCCGGCTCCCTGCTCGGTGGGAGGCCTGCTTCCCCCTCTCCCGCTCCCACTGCTTGTGTTCCTGCTCTCGCTGTGTGTGTCTCTCTCTCTGTCAATTAAATAAATAAAATCTTTAAAAAAAATAAAATAATAAAATAAGATTTAAAAAAAATAAAGTGTACAAATGTTTTTAAAGATCTGTAACAGCTGGTGACCCTGTGACAGCAATGTGTTTATTTCCATCTCCTCCATTTCATTATCTATGACACTCATCACTTCCATTATTACTCCTAGAAAACATTTTCAAGGGCTTCCTCGACGGAAACCACTATACCACTTTGAATGACAGCGGCTACTCAATTTGCCTAGTCTGGCATCCACAATGACTCCAAGGTAGAACACAGGCGCTGAGAAAGGCAGAGATGCCCGTGTGTGGCGCCATGCCACCTTCCCTCCAGGTCCGGACCCCAGGCTGTGTGCTGTGTTGTTTGTTGGGTTTGTTTACACGTCCAGTAATTTGCTCAGAGCACAAAAGCTTTTCTGTAGTGTTCACCATTTTGGCACACGCTAAAGGAAGCAACAGAAAACCCTGATGACGGAAGACACCTTACATTTTAAAATTATCACTCTGAGAAAAGGACCGTTTCTTAACGTGCTGAGTTTCAATACGCATTCATCACCGCTCTCTTTCTGAGCAGATTTATCGCATGCTTGTCTAAGATAAGAAAACATGTGGAGTTTGGGGTGGGGGCTAACATGAATCATAGACACTAAAAGTCAAGCTGTCCGGTCAAATTTCAGCTTTGCCACTAATTAGCTGTGTCGGTCAAGACTTTCTGAGCTTTGTTTTCCTTATCTGTCAGATAAAAGGTTTGGGCAGGGCCGGTGGGATGGAGATGAGCACGAAGGTACAAACCCTGGGAGGGAAATGCAGGGGATTTATCTGTGTATATCTCGTCGTCTTCTGCACCGAAGCTTCTCGAAAGCGTGTTCATCTCAGGATGCCCCCACTGCTCGTGCCGGGCCTTGCACTTAGCTGGTGCTTGCTTGAGTGAGACCCTAGATCCTTTATAGTTGTGACTAGTGTCAGCCTCTAGTCTGTGGCAAAGCGGCGAGAAGGGGAGGGCCCTCTGGTCACTGGGCTG